GCAAATCTTTTGTTGAAGTTCAAAAGCCCTTCTGTTACATCACAGCGTTTAGTGCCCCCCCCCCTCTTTTGTTATTGGTAGTTTTTGCGAATGCTTTGTTTCTTTGTCTCTCTACTCGCTGCTGTCTTTCTTCTTTAGGCTTTGCCATTGGCTGGCTGGACAGTCTGTCAGGATCTGCATATCTGTGACAGCCAATCATGAATGACGGCTCTGTATTTAAGATGTTTAAGCTCGTGCTTTGGGGGGAGAGGCGGAGTTGGGGCTGGCTTCGCCGCTGCTCATTTGTGCTGTTAGTCGCTCTCTGTATGTTGCACTTATGATGGTGTGTGGTTTGCTCCTAGTTGTCGTTTAGTCAGGGGACGCCTTCCCTGATCTGTTACATCCTCCCGGAGAGAGAGAGAGGGAAGTACGTCACGTGACATACATATTACAACACGTAGGTTTGCTTTTGTTAAACACACTAGGTCAGGAGCGTGTGCCACTTTATGTACCTTTTGTTTTAGGGCAGTGTAGGTTAATTAGGGCGCGTGACGCCGAAGACTCGTGTTTCTTTTCTTTTTATTTCCAGTCAGGACAGAGGGAGAAGTGTATTAAATTAGCACCTTATGTTTTGTTATTTTCTTTAATTTAGCACCGCTCATTCTCTTTCTCTCTGTGGTTGGTTTTTCTTTTGTTGTTTTGATCCGGTATAATTTCTTATGTATAGTGTAAATAGGCTCATGGGTTAATGTACGACTTGCACTTAGAATTTACATGCTGGGTAACACGCATCATTTGGATTAAAACTAAATTGTAAAAATAAGACCATTTATAGGGGCATTCACTATAAACATAATTTATTTTCAATCTTAGGCATACACGACTTTCACGCGAAAGTGAATATAGCTTGTGTGAAATGCGCTAGGCTGTACTGTACTTGTCCCTCTCATTCTGCACCAGTACAAATATGTGCACGCGTTGCGTGTGTTTTGCTTGCTTGAGTGTTTCTGCATTATATGAGTGGGTTTGGAATATAAATCGCAGCACATTTCAGATGAAAAAACGCGACTTCTATTTCTGAAAATATCACAGTTAGGAGATGTATAACGAGTGGTTCCCTGCATCATTACAGCAAAGCGTGTGATTACAGTACTAAGCCGCTGCAATGGAGCAGCTCTAATGCTATTAAATTAAA